GCGGTGAGTGTGCAGAGCCCCAGCTGGGTGTGGTGGGGGGGATGTCACAGGAGGGGACAGGTCACAGGGTGACAGCCCAGGTCATTAAGGCAGTGGAGAAGGCTAATGAGAGTCTGAAGGCTCAGAGGGATGAAGGGAGTGGCAGAGCTGGAGGCACAGACCCGGAGCAGACCAGGCATATAAACAGGTTGTGCGTGGAACAGGCTGAGGGAAGAGACAGTGTCTGAAAAATCAGGCACCGAGCATTTAATCAGCTCCCAGTGAAGGTGAATTACCTTGGAGTTGGGCTTTTGTGTTTTAGAGGTGATACCAGGCATTTGCAGTGAAAAACAAATCAAAATGTCCTGGCTCACTGAATTTTAATAATTCACGTGGTTGTGGGAACAGAAATCGTCAATTACCCTTAATTTTAGTAGTTCCATTAACTTACTCTGTGCAGGAGCCTCTGTTCCTTGTCACCTGTTCTTTCACTCACATCCAAAAGATCAAAAGGAAAACCAGCCCAGAACTGTGTGTGACCTGTTTATCTGAAGATCTGGCAGGGGTATGTTCTGTCTGTGCTCAATGCAGATAAGGACCATAAAAGTGCCTTAAAGATGATCTGATTGCAACAGATCTTAACAAATGCAATCACAGAACGGTTTAGGCCAGGCCTTGGACACTTCCAGGGATGGATCTTCCTTGTTTGTGCCCCACTTGGCCTTGAGGCCGGGGTGAGATGGGAAAGTGATCCTTAGGGACCTGTGAGGGAGCGGGGCCTGGAATTCAGGTGGTGATGGAAGAATATTTTCCTTGCTAGGAGATGGCTGTGAAGAATGAAGTTGGCCTGATAAACAACCCTCTGAAGATTTCCTGGCTGGAGGGGCAGCCCCAGAGCCACCCCAGCACTGTCCTCTCTGACAGCACCAGCCAGCCCAGGACCTCACAGGTAAGGAGACATGGGCTGTGGTATTTAAAGTCGTTGCTATAGCAACCTAAATTTCAGTGTGCTTTGTACTTATGGGCAAATATGAGCTGCAAAGAAACACTTGATGCCAGGCCTGGCTTTCCCATCAGCTTTTCTGTGCTGGACCAGTGGCTTTTTTAAAGAGAACTGGAGCTGTTTGGATGACTGGATCTTCACACACTCACTGTCTTCCAAGTGAAGAACAAGGATGTTCCTTGCTCAGCCCAAAGCCTCCAATGCCATTATGCTGGGATTTGTTAATAGGTGTTGACTGTGGGAATTCTCTGGCTGAGAGCTGCTGAAATGAAGGTTTTTTTAGGCAGTCTTGGTTACTCACTGCGTTCACAGGAGAAGGAAATTTCAGTGATGGAAGGAAACCTCTAATTTTAGGGTCTGCAGGAGGGAGGAGAAAGCAATATCAAGCTAAGTACCCTTCTAGAGACCTCATGGTCTGGATTTGGTTCTCCACACCAGTGTGGTTACTCTGAGTGCAAGCTGCATGTCTTCTGGCTTACTTAGCCAGTTCCTTGGCTGGGAAGGTGGGAAGGGACCTGGTTCAAACTTCACATGACACTTACCCTCCTCTCCTCCTTCCCTGTGGTATAAAGATTCAGAAATCTCATTGCTGAGAGGGCTCCTGCCTCATGCTGTCCAGGTGCTCTTAAGCTGTGTGTCTCCATCAGCCTTTTGTGTGTTCACTCCCTAAATATTTTAAGCCTGTGAGATTGTTCAGTACATTCACTCTTGACTTTTTTGCCAGTACTTTGTTTATAGTACTGGCATTTATACATCAGAATGCCTGGTTGTTGTTCTATCCATGTAGAATCTGGGAGAGTCCTGCAGCCACAGGAGATTCAGAGAGGGGACCAGAGTGGTAGAAAGGAAATTGGGGCAAAAAAAGGATTCCAAACCACTTTATTTGAGAATTTCTCATTAGGAGAAAGTGAGAATTGGCTCATTCGTACCAAAGGGTGTTGCTGTTGCAGTTGGAGCTTGGTGGTGGATTCCAGCCTGTGTGGGTTCAGATCCCTGAGTTTATCCTGGCCTGTTTCCATGCCCAGAGCTTGTTATTTTGGAAGTGCAGTGTCTGCCTGTGGTGAAAGATTAGTGTGGTTGGGGCAGCAGGGAGAGCAGGAAAGCAGCAGGAGGGGTTCATGGTGACCCACCTCTACCCAGCACAGCCTCCTCAATCCCATCCTGCTTCTCAGGATGGGGAGGAGTTGCTGCCAGGGCCATGCATCCTTCCCAGGAATTGCACTGCTGATGCTTGGCTGTCCTTTCTGCTGCTTTTTTTTCTGTAAGCAACTGCAATTTCTGGGATTATGTTGCAGCCTTGCATCTCTAAACTGCTCCGCTTCCCACTTTTCCTCGCGCCTGCTCCAGACCCTCTCAAAATCCTGCTCCTGCTGCATCCACCAGGATGTTTCCACAGGATGATTAGTGTGCTAATAGCTCCTCTTGGCTGTTTTGCTTGCAGCTGACTTAGTTTGCCCTCTCCAGCTCTGGGCTGTGCAGGATGAGCTTCCAGATCCCTGTTGCTCCTGCCTCTTCCTTTCACACCCAGCCCGGCTTCCCAGCCATCAGACTCCACGTTCTTGCTTCCGAGCTGCACAAATCTCATTCCAATTCAAGCTGCCCTCGCTTCCTATTTGCTTCCCCCCTGTTTTTGTCTGAATCCACCCCCATTTTGTTCCCACCCCATGCAAAGGCAGCTCCTTCCCTGCTCTGCTTCAGCAAACAGCCCAAGACCCGCAGCGTTCTCATGGCAACGCGCTCGCCACTCATCCTCTGGGACAGTCATCCCGGTGCTCCCTGCCTGGGACAGGCACCTGGGAGCTGAGTGCCAAAAGCTGCAGGTAAAGGACGGTCAGACCCTAAGCAGGGGGTTTGGAAGTGCTTCCCGTGTGGAAGCAAGGCTGGCTGTTGTGCTGGGAGGAGGCAGTAAGTCTCAGGCTACTTGTTCTCCTACGGCAACGGGTGCACGTTGTCCAGCAGTTCCTGGAAAGCTGCTGGAGCCAAGCAGGCGACTTCCCCTTGGATTACAAAAGCTGTGGCTTGGCCAGTGTTACTCCAGGCCATTTAGAGCAATGTCTGTGTGATGGTTCAGAGCACACAGTGGCTGTGCAGCGCAGCGAGGAGCTTGTTTTGCCACTACAATGGTGTGGAGCACTCAGGTTTGGGAAGGTTTTCCCTGCTCCTTCAGGAGGATCTCCCTGCCAGTGCTCCTCAGCCCTGAGAAAAGCCTCCTGCCTGGTATCCTTGCACCTTTTCTAAGCTCCTTGGAGGTTTCAGAGAGTTTGTTTCGTATTACCAGGCTTTGAGAGGTGAATCTGACAGGGTAAGAGCCGGCTGTGCCAGCTTTGGAATGTCCCTGCACTTTGCTGTAGCTACTTCCAAAGCTCCTGGTTATCTGGGGGCATGGAAGTTTTATTACTGTTGTTTTTTAAAAGAGCCCTAATATCTAGCCTATCAGAAAGGTAAGAATTGGTGACTACTGCAGTAGTTTCTGCAGTGTCCTTTTAGCAGTTTGCCCTGATGCTGCCCCAAAGTGTTCTCAGCCTGGCAGAGCCCTTCCTGCTCTCCAGCTCAGGGGTGGAGAACTAGGTCTTGCCCTGAGCTGTGTGAGCTCTCCTTTGGGGAAAATCAAGTCCCAGCAGCTCTCTCCTTTCCCCAGCCCAGAAAAACAGAGCCACGCTGCTTCCCCTCCCTCAGAAAAACCTGCAGTGCCGGGGAGGATGTATCTGGGCCACTCCAGATACCCTGTGCTCCTGGTGCCTTGGCTTTTTGTGGCTTCTTACCGACTAAATGAGGCAACCAGACACTTCCAGTCACAAATACATTTATTCTTCCACATCTGTACAGCTGGGAGCTCAGTGCATGCGTGAGGCAGCAGTGTGTGGAGACATCTCCTCTCCCCTGCCAGGAGGATAAACCCACTGCTGGTGCTCTTAGCACGAGCACGAGTGGGTGCTTACCTGTTTCCAGGCTGGGAGTGCCAACTGCACTGGAGCTGGGGAAAAAGAAACCCACAAGGAAGAAGAAAAAAAAAAAAAAAAAGAGGAACAGCTTTGATTTTTCACATCCAGACACGGTGGGAGAAGAACCCCCAGTTCCCGTCTCTCAGCCCTTGCCACACCTGTGGCTTTGAGGTGCAGTGCTGCTGTCTCCTTGCAGGCTGCCTGCTGTCCCACAAGGGATCCATGCCAAGTCCCTGTGTGTCCCTGCCCCGCAGTGTCACAGCCACATCCCCAAAATAACAAGTCTTTCCCAAACGATGCCGTTCTTCCCTGAGGAGGAGACGCACAGTCCGGAGTGGGAGATTGCCAGGGTGAAGAGTGGAAACAGTGCTCTCACCTGAGCTCTGCTCCAGAGGATTCCTTGGCAAGGACAGGGATGGTCTGTGGTGGGTGAGGTGAGGACAACAAAACAGGCCACACACGACAGGCATGCTCCAGCATCCTTCCTCCCGCTGGGATCAGAGGAACCGGCAGCAGCATTGGGTAAATGGGATGTGGTGAATGATAAATACCTTCAGATGGCATAATCTCTTGGGTTCTGTTTCCTGAGGGTCTGCAGGACGTCCTCGAGGAGCGATAGCCCCAAATCCACTTTGAAGGACAGGAAGGGGTCAGCCAGGTCGGGAAGAGTGGTGCCGTTCTGGGAACCTGCCTCTGAGGTCCCGTGGTCTGTAGCCTGGTCCTTGTGCGTTTGAGTGCCTTTGTGGTACTGAGCGGCGTCGGAAAAGGAGATGTCGGAGTGGGAGTCGGTGTGGTCGATGATGTTGGGGCAGCTGGAACTGTCCAGGTACAGCCGGGGAGGCTTGGGAGGGGCTTGTGCCTTGGCCAGGTTCTGCTCGCTCTGGCACGACAGGTAGTCAGACTTGTCCTTCAGATCCCTCAAGCCTTCCCTCTTCTGGCCGTCAGTGTCCAGAGTGTGGCTGTTCTGGTTCAGGATGATGACTTGGTTGCCCAGCTTTTTGTGCCTCCTGAGGGAGAAACGTCTGAAGAACGTGGTGGACTTGATGGACCCTCTGCGCCAGGTATCCATGCTGAGGGAAGGCAGTGAGGAGAAGGGACCTGCTGACTCCTCACAGGCAGGTGCTGGACTTAAGCCACGGGATCAGCAGCGAGCCACGCAGCAGGAACAGCCTCTTCCTGCCCCGTTCCCGTAGCTGGAAGGAAAACAGAGAGGCTGGTAGTGCAGGAAATACAGACTCCACGCTGTGGTAAGGAGCAGTTGGCTTGTCTTGGATCTTAAGGAGTCTCCTCCTTGAGTGGAGAAGGAACACGGTGTCTGAGCTCGTTAAACGTGTGCTGGTGAGGAACAGCAAGGCACAGTCACCATGAGAACAGATCTAATCTGGCATCTAGAACAGAAGGGCACCCGGGTGCCATGGTAACCAGCCACCTTCTGCGGAGGGGCACCGCCGGAAAATCCAGTGGGTGGTTGGGAAGGAGACGGTGACTCAGTCCCACTGGAGGAGCCAAGGAAATAGAGGCGAAGGGGGATGTAAAAGGCGACACCGTGAAAGGCAAATGCCGGGAGAACGGAATGCAAAGGAGACTTACGCCGTGTCGGAGCAGCCCCGAGTCCGAGGGCGCAGAGGAGAAGCTGCTGGAGCACTCGGAGAACTGTGCCTGCCACGCTCACCAGGATGAAGGAGCAAGTCTGGGGACAGCTGAGCCGGGAGTTCGGGAATTCAGCCAGGTTGGACCCGGAATGCTAAAAATCCCCGAAGCTGCTGCCGCTGTCTCTTCATGTGCCGCCCATCGCCTCTTCCCGGGCTGCAGCTCCTGCTCGGATGTGTTTGTTTTGAGCCAAGCCCTTGCTGAGTCAGCCACGTCAGGAACTGGGTTTTACACGATTGGTAATTGCCAGGATTGCAGGAAGTAGGTGTGTGGAGTGGCAAAGCCTCAGCCCACGCTGCCTGAGGAGCAGGAGAGCTCCTCGGAGGCACCCGGACTGCTGGGAGCTGCCAGCTTGGAGCCCACCTGGATCAGGCTCTTCTCCTCCCTCCTGCCACTCTGAAGGCTCCGTGTGTCAGCAGGGCTCCCAAACCAGGCTGGGAATAATCTCTTGTCTGTTTTAAATTTCAGTCCGTGTGCGAGGTGGGGATTCAGGTTTGTGTGGGTGATTCATCTGCATGAGTCTCACACAGCCTCTTCCATCCAGCCCAGCAAATCCCTGGGGTTGATGGACAGGACTGGGGAGGATCTTGGTTCTGCTGCTGAGGGCCAATACCCATCAGTGCTTTCTGAGACACTGGTGCTGCCAGCACCCAAAGGTCATTTCACTCATCTGGCTCCTAAGACACCAATTAGACTCCTAATTTCCCACTCAACATTCCTCATCTGTTGTGGGGCTTCTATTTTGTCCTCACAGCCGGAGGAACCACTTTACTGGCACTTGATAACAAATTGCACTTGCCCCATTTTCATGCAGAGTCTTATTTAGCCATTCTATTGCCTTTGTATCCCTGCTGCTTCCTAAGATGTCCTTAAGTACCCAGAGAAGCTGTGGCTGCCCCATCCCTGGAAGTGTCCAAGGACGGGTTGGACGGAGCTTGGAGCAACCTGGGCTAGTGGGAGGTGTCCCTGCCCATGGCAGGGGGTTGGAACCAGATGATCTTTGAGGTCCCTTCCAAGCCAAACCATTCTGTGATTCCATGACTCTCTGAAATCACCACTAAACCCAGTTCCTAGAAGAATGAACGTGAGGGTTTTTTTTTTTTTCCATTCACCTTCTATCAAGACACTTATTTCTGCTTGAACTGTCAAGGAATGAGATGGATGTTTCCAAGCCTTGCAGTGCTTTCATACATCCAAAATAGCACGGCCACCTACTAGTGTGGAATGGCTTTGGAAGCAGAGTTCCAAAGCACTGGAGCAGCTGTCATCTGCTGCCCACGTTCATTAGGCAGAGTCTGCAATCAACTGGGTTCACGTGACAGTTGCTGCCACACGCAGCAGGAAGGCTCCGGGAGCTTTGGAAAACTATTTCCATTCCTGCGTCAGGTTTGGGAACAAACCTGGTGGTTTTCTTTCTGCTGCAGCCACTTAGAATCGTTCAGGTTGGAAAAGACCTCTAATATCATCAATTCCAACTGTTACAATCATAGAATCAGGAATGGTTTGGGTCAGAAGGGACCTTATGGATCATCCAGTTCCGCTCCCCTGCCATTGTCAGGGACACCTTCCACTGGCCCAGGTTGCTTCAAGCCCTGGCCTTGGACACTTCCAGGGATCCACAGCTTTTCTGGGCAACCTGTGAGGTGCTCTCACCACCCTCAGTCGGTTGGGAGTTATCAGTTCCGTGACTGATCCACAGAGGTTGGATGTTTTTATGACGTCAGCCTTTGTAACGGGTGAAGTGTACGCTGGACTTTGGGCTGCAGCGTTGCAGGTGCAGGGTGAGCTCATCATCCAAAATAATGCCTCATCCAGCCTCGTGGGGAGCAGGGAGCAGCTCTGGCAGCAAGAGGGGAATTCAGGAATGCAGGCTCTCTGTGTCTCCTGCTTTCCCCAGCAGCCATGCTTAGGAAGCAGCTTGTTTTTCTGTAGCCAGGCAGCTTTCACACCTCACCCGATCTCTGTGGGATCAAACTGCTTCCTGCCCAGAACTCCCGTGTTGTGAGGGGGGTCTGGGGAGAGGGGAGCTGGGTCTGCACTGTCCCTGATGGGTTGTGTGTGTTTCCTGCTCCCTGCCAGGCATCCGTGGTGTCGGAGCGGGACTACGAGAGCCTGGTGATGATGAGGATGCGCCAGGCAGCAGAGAGGCAGCAGCTCATCGAGCAGCTCCGGCGGGAAGACGAGGAAGAGTCTCACACTTAGCGTGACAGTATGGATTCTCCCCACCCCTGCACCCCCCCGCCCTGTGCTCTTTCTTAGTTTAAGTCAATAAACCTCCTTTTTTAAAGCTGGTGTGGGAATACAAACTCCCAGAGACTGTGGCCTTTATCCCTTTCCAGGTTTGGGGAAGGAAATGGCTTCAGTGTGCAGGTATTACCCTGTCAGTGTGTGTCCAGAGCAGCTGCCCCATCCCATGGGACAGGGTGTGAGGGGTGCCAGCAGAACACCAAACCTTGGAGCTTTTAATCCCTGGAAGCTCCTCTGGGAGCCATGCATCCAGAAGGATTTGGCTGCAGCTTCAAACAACCCACAGAAGGACATTGGTGTCTTTAGAGCAAAGCTTTATTGGTGTTACCCCTACAACAGGATCCATACACAGCCCCAAACATCCCAGCAGTGCAACTGCTGCTGTTGGGATTAGGGCCTGCTCCTGGAATGCTCACAACACCTTTCTGTGCTATTTTGGGAACCCTGTGTTATGCTTGGATGGCACTCTGGGATCTGGAAGTCTGAGGATGCTGCTGACCACGATCCTGTGTGGGATGGAAATGGGCCTTGCTGCCAAGGGAAGGGGATTCTCGGACCACTGGGTAGGTTTAGTGGTTCTCCCTCAGATTTCAGGGATGAGATGGGATGCTGTCCATGCCTGGTGTCCCCCTGTAACCTCCCTGGCTCGGGAGAAGGCATGGACCTCTCCAGGCAGCCTGAGAGAAGGCAGACAGGTCTGTTACTGAGCTTCCTCCAAGGCATGCTAAATAGATGATTAAAATGTAAAAAGCTGGAATTTGCCAGACTGCCATCCTGCTGAAGGCAGAGCTGGAGCCATCTGTTCCCTCTGCCTGATTTTTGGGCATCCTTTCCTCCCCATGCTCTTGGGAAATGACAAGGATGGCAAAATCCCACTGGGTCCAGCTCTGCCTCTGTGCTGCTCCTCTCCCCGCCCGAGCGCCGGGAGTCTGGGACAGGAAGGAATGAAGGGGGAAAAATTCGCTGTCAGTCCTGTAGAGATGATGTCCAGCAGGATCTGGGCTGGGTGGAAGGCAGGATTCTTCCTGGCTATTCCCTGTGGAGGCACCAGACCAGGGTCTGGCCCACGCCGGTCATGCTGACCACGCGATAGCCGAGCTTCTCCAGCTTGTCCAGGACCACGCGCGGCACGTCGTTCACGTAGTACTCACAGCTGCTCCCGGGAAAGAGGAGGAATAAAGTGAGCTGGGGGGAGGAAGAGACGGGAATTTCCTTGTGGAAGTGACTCTGCCTCAGTCCTAACCCAGGTAAGCCCAGTGACTGCACCTGGCACAGGTGAGTGCAACACAGTGCTTTGGTTAACCCGAGGGGAAGGACACAGCCCACGGTGCCAAACCAAGAGGAATCCTGTCCAGGAGGGAAGGATCAGGTTAAATGGGAATGTGGCTCAGGGACTGGGTGTCCAGAGCCAGGTGCTGCTCGGAAACTGGGCTGAAACTGCAGCAGAGGGTTCATGGGTAAACACAGGGGAACACAGTTCTGGGAATTCATGGAGAAGGAGGAGAATCTGGGCCAAGCAGGGAGGAATGATTCAGGTGTTTCTAAGGAATGAAATCCCAATGTTCTGCCCATGTTGGAGCATGTCTGTAAGCTGGGTGGGTTTGAGAGCCCGTGCTGATATTTGGGGATTGGAACAAGGTGCTGCCTTCAGTCAGGTGGGAAAGCTTTGGAAAGCCAGGAGTTGTCTGTCCTGCACAGAGGTGCCAGGTGAAGTGGAGCACAGGCTGCTCTGCCCCAGCAGTACCTGGGAGTCTGGGAACTGACACCGGGATCCTTGTCTGGCCCTAATTCCTCATTGGTTTTGTGCTGGCTCTGCGTTTGGAGCAGAAGCTGCTCGTTCCTTCCCCTAGATCCCAGAGTCTGCTCCTCTGTGGAATCTTGAGGGCTGTGACACTGCTCCCCAGTAAAGGACCAGACACAAACTGGGCTGAATTGGGTGGGGACAGCAGAGCTGAGCTGGCCAGTAGAACCTTTGGCACTGGATCTGCCAGCCTTTCCTTTGACACAGCTTCTGGGATGCACCATTTATGGGAGCAGCTGGGATAAGTTCCAGGGCAGCTCAGCCCTTAGGTGATTCGTGGTGCCTGATAATGACGGGTTGCAGGATCACTGGGGATCCAGTTTGGCCACCTTAACAAAGACTCTCCTGATTTTCATACTAATAACGATAAAAAAGGGTCCAAAAGCCTTTCCAAAGCTGCTCCTGCTCGGGTTGCAGAGCTGTGCTGGAGCAGGGAGTGCTTTAAAGCACAAAATAACCCCAAGATGTGAGAGATTTTCCAGTTTCTCAAGATAGACTGTACTTGGCTGTAATTATAGATGTGGTGTAAAGATAATGTGTGTTATTATAAATGTCTTTGAAGTCCATGCTTTCTCCAGGAGGGTTGCCACATAATCCTTCGGATTCCCAGTGGGAGGTGGTAAATATTATTCCCATTATTCAGAGGAAGGAGCAGAGGCAGGGATTTGTAGGAACCTAAAAAACGGAGTGGCTGAGCTAAAATCAGGAGGAAAGAGTTCCCGGGGCTTTATCACAGCTCTGTGTTGAGGGAGGCAAAGATTGCACAGTGTGGGCATCGGACACGCTGCCGTCTCCGTGTGCATCCAGCCGGGATGGAGGGGCTGGGACACCTGCAAAGCCTTTTCTTCCAGATAAAACGCCATCAGGGAAAAGAGAAGTCATCCCAGATCGGCACTGGTTTGGTGTGTGATTCCACCTGCTCTGCCTCCAGGTGTGCCAAACCAGGAGAGCCCACGCAGGGGTGGGGCAGGAGCGTCCTCCGCGCGCGGCGATTTGCGGGGATGGAGCAGCCAAGCTCCTGGGATCTCTGCCCAGCTCTCCTCCAGCTCCCTGAGGACGGGGTTTGGCTGTGCCCGGAGGAACAGGTACGCTGAATGTCAGCAGGTGCCTCAGCCCTCGGCTCCCAAATCCAACAGGGATCGCAGTGAAGACCAAAGGGTGCTGAGAGCGCGTAATGACCGGAGAGGCCGAGGACCCACATCCACCTGGGCACACCCAGAGTCCCCTTGTCCACAGCACCTGAGGGTCCGGGATTTGCCCCTCACCATGGCTGCCCCTGTGCTCCATCTGGGCTCTTCCCTGTGCCCATCCTAGCTGTCCCTGTGCCACCCCTGGCTGCCCCCAGGGCTCTGCCACAGGCCCAGAGCGTGGCGACCACATGCCTGCTCCCCACACCTCGTGGGACTTAATGAGGGGCCTTTTGGCCGTGCAGAGCTGCGGAACAGGATCCGTGCACCCCCTGATTACAGGGAGTTAAGTGCTTCACCTGTCCATCCCGGTTTCCCAGCAGGTTCGTGCTGCTCAGGCCTTTCCTTCAGGCTCCCTCCAAGGTCACGGTTAAGGTTTTGGGGCCCACGGTGCTGCAGGAAGGGGGAGGTTTGCAGCGTCTGTGTCTGCTCAGGAAGGGCTTGGGGAAAATCCTGCTTGGCCATGGTGCAGATCCCGGAGCTCTCGGCCCTGGTTGGGACGCTGGTGGAGGTGGCCGGGCTCGCCCCACTGGCACGTGGCCATGCTCTCGGGGTGCCAGCAGCCATGTTCCAGCCAGGGGACTTTC